GAAGAGTGATCTAGATACTTAGTACACATTAATTGAGGGAAGACACAGCTGAAACAAGCGAAAAAGCAGCACAAAGCACGTTGGAGTATTTAAATAATCCTGAAATAATTATTTCAGGAAGTCTCGTCGTCAGGTGGCTGCCACCGTCCACACACCCCTAAGTGCCCTTCTTGAATCTCCGCTTCTTCAGTCAGCCTTTTTTGTGGCCACCCATATGATTTTCAATACATTGGGCACTGAGGCAATTAAATCACCCCAGTCAATATAGAAAGCAAGGGGTGGGTCGGACTTCACTTCCAGTTTACGACGGTGTGCACCTGTGGATTATCAACATACCATCCAAGTTGCTCACCGTAACCGTCAGTTACATTTTTCGGCTGTTAAAGCGAAATTCCTGTACGTTAATTGAAAACTTGGAATCGGGAAACAGCTGTTTCTGAAGATGAGAGAGATCTAAACACCTATGTTTGACTCAAACTTTCGAGTTCATGCGCACTCAGAACAACCCAGCACTGTGTCCCCTCACGCATATTTTGAACTCCTAATCCTGTGTCTTGCCACTCCATATTTCCAAGGAGGTTTTGGCCAAATTACTAAATATCGATGAACTACTCGATGTCCCTATATACCTAGTTTTTGATTACAAACCCAATAAACACCGATTGAAGCGGATGGACCTAAGACGTGACGGTTTGCGTACCTTAGTATTCGATTAAGCCGTGCTGGCGGATGCCTATGCGGCATTCTCAGTCTGGTCTCCCATGGCAGTTTGACTGGTGCACAGAGGTATGATAAACGGCCTTCAGGGGTTGGAACAAGTCTGGCAAATTGTGTCCTTAAATTTGTTCCCCTAAAATTGTTCCAAGACAACAACTGCTGTATTGTGGTCAGACTTTTGGACCAGATGCTTTGCTTAGAGACCCTCTATCTAGATTTTGACGTTCTCAACTCGTAGTGGCCATGTTTGTGACCCGTGTAATGATATGGAACTCGCCACAGAACCGTAAACTCGACCCCTGACAGGTAAACAGGGGGCGAGATGGCCCAGCGGTTTAGGGCGCAAATTTACCAACCGGAAGTTCGCGGTTCGAACCCGACCTCTGCCTCTCGGCTTCCCCTGTCTAGGTTTGAACAGTTGGTGGTATCCAAGCCCCCGTGCTTCCTTCCGGTGGCATGACAGCTAGGCACCGAAAGGGTGTTACGGCTGAACGATTACTATTTATTCAGACGGGTGTCACGCGTATGCCACAGTCGGTGCGCGTTCACATAAGCTGCTCTGACCTTCCCAATTTGGGTCATCATCAAAGACAGCAACATCACTGTCTGCAGTGATGCTTCATTGCCGTACAACCATAAGGTTCGTCTAGTTATATATAGAAAAAGGGTAGATGAGGGAGGGGACCTAGTGCTGGCTTATGTCAAGCATTCTGAGGTGCCTACACCTTCAACCGCTCAATCAGACAGTCTGGGAAAAAACTGACAGCACGAACGCCACTGACATAGATTAGCCAACATTTCTTGCGACGTCTCCAGCCAAGGACAGACGGGGTCACGAGGACCCCATCCTGGAAGGCGTACAACACCCAAACTCTTCGTGTTCTCTTTGGCGCCTTTCTGCCAAGTCATGTGCTGTCCACCTCGCGGTTTGCGCCATCTAATCCAGAAACCTGGCCTTCAGCAGAAAGGTGGACCGTAAATATGGAGCCACCTTCAGTCTCAGAAGTGTCCGAATGTATTTGTCTACACAAGGATCATCGTGCTGCTGGTCCTGACAACCTTCTACCTGTTTTTTTCAAGGATGGCGGTGGATTCCTGTCTAGCCTACTCGGGTCTACCTGGTCCCCCGACCTAAAGCTGCCACCTTGACGTGGTGGTCGGGCTTGAGTGCTGCAATGATCCCGAGGGCTACGCTGGCTGGACCGTTGTTCCACAAGGTGCAACCATGCCAGGAAGGCCAAGGGGGAGCAGCGAGACCCCGTACTACAAACAATCGTGCTACAGGGCGGTCTGGGGGTAAAGTACTGTCCTTTGTGACAGGAGTGTGAAGGCAGTAAGGTGTTTCCCCCAGGCGACCAGCATGTCCATATTTATGGAAGCATCGATGATGTCTTCCACCGAGGAAGGACGGGTAAGAAAAGGTCGGCCCTGAAAACTGCACACTCCGTTGGGTCGCCCAACAGTTGACCGTGACCGCCAGTGCATTGTCCAATATGGTCGAAATACTTTTAAGACCAAAGAGTCCGGTGCTGCTCAGAAGACACCTGCTGTGCGCAGCCGCATCAGGGATGAGACAGTGTCCGGCGACCCAGAAGCGATAACTCGTGGAATATATGGCGTGGGAGTTACACTCAACCCCGGAGCTGAACACGTTCTGCTGGATTGGATCCCAGTGAACAGTCGTCTTTGCACCGTCCGGTTATCCAGTTCAATCAAGCTCCATGCCTCAGCATAAAGAGCGGTGCCTGTTTGTCGTGTCGGCTTATGCCCCAACGGACTGCAGTTCTGATGCGGAGTAGGATACTTTCTATCCAGAGCTATTCGGGCTCATTTGTCAGGTAAAATGCACTGACATTGTGATCCTTGTGGGCAATTTAAGTGTTCAAGTAGGTCGTCTGAGCTCCTTGGAATCACATTTGGGTGGTAGATTCAAAGTCTATGATCGCCGCACAGACATCGGAGACCGACTCTCTCAATTTTGTGCTGATCACGAACTATTTCTGGCAGGTACGAATTTCCGACATAAACGTTCGCACCACGTAACCTGGCGGCCGTCAACTACAAATCGACCGTGGACCCGGTTGGATTACGTGGCCATCAGCCACCGGTGGAGAGATTACAATTTAAGACTACCGTTCCTTCCGGGGCACACCCCTTGATTCCGATCACGCCATAATGCGCGCACGCTTGACAGTTTGTTTCCCTTCAGGCCGTCGCAAGTCGGCAAGGAACATCCAATACACTAGCTTCGGAAAACTGCCATAGCTGAACAGTATCGGTCTAAGCTAGCCCAACAACTCTCCACAGTAAAACAATACTGTGGTAGCAGTGAGCATGTGGATCAAGCGTGGCAAAATGTGAAAGGAGCTATGTTAGAGGCGTTCGGTACTGTATGTCCGACTTCTCCAATTCGATCACCAGACCACTGGATGTCATCGAGATCGCTATCCGTGATTGATGCCAGGAAAGCTACACCAGCAGGCAGTGAGTTCGACGGAGCACGCAAACCCCTGAAACGTCAAATAGTGAAGAGCCTAAGGAAAGACGGAGAGCTCTGGTGGACATCGAAAGCTTGAGGGATGGAGAAGGCCTTTGCCACGGGGAACGGCCGTACCCTTTATCAACTGATACGATCGAATGGCCCTAGGAAAGCAACGGTCGGCGAAGCGATAAGTAGAAAAGATGGCTCATTAATTCACACGCAAAAACATCGACTGGAAAAATGGGCCGAACACTTCGAAGAACAGTTCAGCTGGCCTCCTGCAACACAACCTGTGAAGATAATGCACACGGGCGAATAGAATGCAAACCTTTATCGACCTTCGGAAGAAGAAATAAGGTACGAAATAACCGTACTGAAACGTGAGAAGGCACCAGGACCGGACGGTCTGTATCCAACCCTCTTCAAAGAAGGCGGAAAATCCCTGGTGACCCATCTGACAGCTTATTGGCACCATATGGGACGAGAAGAAGGTGCCTGCAGGATGGGGCATGTCGACGGTTATCCCTGTCTTCAAAAAGGGTACGCGGACGCTGTGTCAAAGCCACCGTGGCATCAGCCTGTTAGCTGTGGCATCGAAGGTGCTCTCTGGCATTATCTTCCTAAGGTTGACTGAACACAGGAAGAGGCAGATCCGTGAAAAACAAGGTGGGTTCCATCATGCAAAAGGTTGCATCGATCATATTTTCACCTTCCGACAAATTCTGGAACAGCAACACTGCTTCCAGCAGTCAACAATGGTTGTGTTTCTTGATCTGAAAGCTGCCTTTGACTCTATGGACCGTCAGGATTTATTGTAGTGTCTGTGGAGCAAAAGTGTCCCCCATAAATTCTTGACCCTCCTTAAGGTGCTGTACGCCTTCTCCCGTCGCCGTGTGAAGGTCTACAGGAAGCTCTTGCCTGAGTTCACCGACAGGGCTCTCTTCTTTCACCTTTCCTCTTCAACTTCGTGATTGATGCGATCATGGAAGACTCACTACCACCCTCTAATGCCTTGGGGTCGAAGTGCTCCCTGGGCCTCCGCTCACAGACATCGAGTACGGAGACGGCAGAGCTCTTCTGGGATCGGACCCCGCGGTAATGCAAACAGTATTAAATAATCTAAATAATTTTGCCCCACGGTTCGGCATGCGCTTCACACCTGCTAAGTGTAAAGTGTTACTGCATGACTGGGTGGGTTGAACCGTAGCCTCATGCTTACGAATGAACCGATTGAGGTAGTAGACAAATTTGTTTACCTGGGCAGCTGTATCAGTCCCGGTGGTCTGGCGAACGATGATATTTCCATCCGGATTGGGGAGGCCAGAGCAGCTTTTGTGAACCTACGTCAATTGTGGCGTAGGCGTGATATCAGCTTCACTGTCAAGGGTCGAGTTTACAATGCTGTCATGCGCTCCATACTACTATATGGATCAGAAAACTGGCCGCTGCGTGCTGAGGAAGTCAAAAGACTTCCAGTATTTGACCATCGATGTCTTCGGAGCAATGCCCGAATCTCATGGTAACACTGGATCAGCAATCCTGAAGTACGTCGAATGGTATTCGGGAGAGATAACTCACCCTCGGTAGGTGAACTGATCACACTGCATAGGTTGCGCTGGCTCGGTCACGTTCTGCATATGCCAGTCGACGGACTTTTCGCACAATCACGTGAAGAGTGGAAGAGAGTCAGAGGCGGTCAAACAACGAATTTGCAGCGAAGTATAAAAGCCATTACCAGCAAACCCAGCTGCACTGGTCATTGCCGTCTTCCTGGATAGCGACCCCGAAACGGGCCATATAAATGGTTAGGGACATTGTCAGACATGGCCCAATCTCGCCTATAATGGGGCTCATACACCCAAGCTACTTCCTTCAGTGCGTAGCTCCCTTCCCAATCCCCCCACTTGACAGTCCACCTCCAGTGCTATATTTATGCACTAATTTATCAGCTCCCGCCTCCAATGCGCAGCTACCTACCCCACCTCCCCGAATGATCGGTGAACGAAACTGTGACATCTACAACCACTGTACGAAAAGTACGCGGTTATTACAGCTGAGAGTGATTTCCATTCCCTTGGGTTTCCGTGTCCACCGGACTTCACGGTCGACTCACGCTTACTTTCACTTGACTTCCGATAATTCGTCGCGTCAAGTTATGTTCGGGACCGGCCGGGATATTTCTCCGAGATTTAAGCAATGCTACTGTTCGGCCTGATATCCAGTGCTTGAGTGCGCCTGGTAGTGCCGTGCTACCGGTAAAACTTTCAGCACTGTCCAGAAAGGTGGTAATCTCGTCCTACTATGGATTTACAAGTGATGGAGGAGCATTTGGAAGAGACTCTAGAAGACGGTTCTGGTAAGTTCATCTGACATCCGGAGTAGAACCTGATTGTACACAGTGACTGACGTTGATGCACAGCGACCTGTTCCGGTATTTGCAGCTCAACATAGGGAACATCACATAGGCGCATCACTTTACGAGGTAGGTTTTATCGATGGCGCAAATGTCCTTTGTGACGTTATCTATTTCCTTTTGTTAGTCCACAAACCTCCGGCCCTTTTGATTCCTTCATTCCGATTTTGACACATGACCGGCCAGCATCGTTTAATGCTGGCCGAGTTTGGTGGTTGCCGCATCACCCGCCTTCTGATTGCCCGTCGAACCCGTTATTTTTTCAGCTGTTTGCTGCCAGAAGATTGTATCTATTCCGTTGTAAACCGTTTACTCACTGTTTCTGTTCACTTTCGCTTCCAGCTACTGGTTATTTACTCCTTTCAATCTAGAGTCATTCTGCAACCGACACCATCCAGCATGTTTTCAAGTGGATATAGTCAAGATAAGCTCTATGATGCATTATTCCAACTGCGGGTGTGTTTCCTCACCGCTGTGTTTCATCGTTTTGCTCCCAGTATTCGTCGAAACAATTCCTACGGATGTCGGGCAAGAGTGAAAGGGAAGCAGAGCAACAAAAAGCTAAAGTTAAAAAAGTAAGAAAGTATAGCCTCAGATTGCTACTTCATTTTTTCAGGCACTTGTTGACAAAAATCCTGATATTGCGAGAGTTTATGCGGAGACGGCTGTTCGCAAACACAACGAATCCGTGAACTTTTTACGAATGGCTTCCAGGATTGACGCTGTCCATAGCAGAGTTCAAAGCGCGGTGCAAATGAATGAGGTTTTTACTGCGGCTCCCACTGATTTACCTTTCTATTTAGGCCGTGAAAAATATTGGAGGTGTTTCGAAAGAACTAGAGAAAGCTATGAAGTCCATGGATCTGGAAAAAATTGAAAAGATCATGAATAAATTTGAGACGCAGTTCGTGGATCTCGATGTCCGTTCGGCGACTATGGAGAACTCTATGGGCAATGCATTTACGTTATCTGCTCCCGAGGACCAAGTCAGGGACTTGCTTACCAAGGTCAGCTTCCCCCGCATTCCTTGATTCGTTTTTCTCATGAAACACGAGTTAAACCAATGACCATGGAGCCCATCATCTTTCCCAGGTTAAAATCACTGGATGTAGCTGACAATGAGCGCCTTGTCCTACGGTGATGTAGACTGAACACTATTCGCCAATAAATGCAAAACTGCTAGTGTAACCCGCGAGAAGCTATATGGTTATCTGCATCAACTGTTCACAAGCACAGTGGCCCCTCTCCATAAACTTTCCACAGACTAACACCCCCTCACTTTGACGTCCAACTCTCAACAAAGGTCACTGTAGATGTCCTTGTGACACAAAACCCACCGGATAATGATCTTGGTCGGTACTAAGGGTATTCTTTCTGAAAGACAATTACCTATGGCGTGCATTGTCTAACTACTCGGTTCTCATTTGTGTGCCCTATAAGTGGATTTTTTTCGAAATGGTGTCCATTGTGCCCACGAGTTTGGTGTACAAGGACACTGAAGGTGACCATATAACCATACATGAAGTATACGTCCCGTCTGAAGTGCGACAAAATAGTCGATGCCGTCTAATTCATATTACGGCGCCGAATTAAAGAGATAGGACCGTAACAAGTGCCCAATAATTTTAGGCGGTTTTGGACAAAATGACCTTTGAGGACCCGCTTGCTCTATGATGATGAACATAATATGCTGAAAACTAAGAAACACTACACTCAAGAAAAAAAGTGATAACGTATTGTTACTCAGCAACACGTTTTATGATATGACAAGGTTACCGTAAGCCTTTATTTAAATGGCCAATTGATACGCATTGGTGTGATACCTGTTCAAATCCAGTTCAAGCTCTCCCTCTTTGCTTGAGCATCCTATAAGCATTTTTGTCGAACAATGTAAGCACTGCTTGCATCGCTGCTTGAATCCAGCATATGTTTCGGTTATCAACACTAATAGCTCACTGTTCATTTGTGTTTTGTAGCCTGGGTCTGACGCTTCGTGTTTTCTCTACTGGGAATTCAAAACATGTTTTGCACCTCAGTCATTTCGGACACCTTAGGTTAGAATTTGTGACTTTAGGGGCGAGGTTGATTACGTCAACCAGAGATTCGGACTTTTTGCTGTCATTCCTCTTGTTAGTAGTAAATGTGGAGGCTTTTATCGTGTTTTTTTTTGGGGGGGGGGGGGGGG